TTTACAGTCGACCCCCCTATAAGATCATTGATTTTTCCGTTTTATCTGAATTACATGTTGTACGAGTCACTTAGATTTTACAAATATGTGAGCCGTTCACAGCCCGGCACACGTATTTGTAAAATCTAAGTGACTCGTACAACATGTAATTCAGATAAAACGGAAAAATCAATGATCTTATAGGGGGATCGACTGTACATATTTATTTCATTTGCATGGAAACAAATTTTTTTTTTTTTATCTTTGTTACTCATTATTACTGAAATTTATAAAATGTCAAAACAAAAGTAACAGTAACTCTCTCCACTAAGCAAAATATAGTACTTTAGAAAGCTTTTATTGAAAACCTCAATGCTACACTGAAGTGTTTTCAACTGGACAAGTCCTGAAAGTAGGATTGTTGCCTCATGGGTAATGAAATATGGAACATCCAAATAGGTGATAATGATACATCCATTATATTAAAATATCACTTTAGTAGTAATAATAACAATGACAAGAATCCTGTAACAATACAATACAGGGCAAGTGGCAACTATAGTCGACCCCCCTATAATGCGGGTTCATATAATGCGGATTCGTATATCACGGTGAAAAAATTGTGACCGTATTCGTACAAAGATGCTAAAAGAGACTCGTAAAATACGATAAAACATCATCGCTGACTCGTGTCGTGACAGGATTGGTCGAATCTGGACCAATAGTGGACGAGCAGCTGAACTACTTACACGCTACGGAGAGTTTAGGCAGGTAAGTTGAGTTTACTATCATCTGTACAGTATATAAATTAGGTACTGTAAGTCTAATACAGTACTGTAATTTTATACATTTCTTGTGAAAAAAACATTTCTTATTCAAAGGCCATAAAAATTATTTCTATTAATGATGTCTCCAAAGTTCAGTGAATTTTTCGCAGAAAAATAACTTATCAGAAAACGCGCCCGCCGTTCGATGCACTGCTCCGCGACGAAAACAAGCTTAAGCAATGGTGTTGTTGAACGGTGCACACTTGGTAAGTAATCCTACAATTTTTTGTTTATAGCATAGTTCATATGGATTATTCCCAAAAAATTATATGTGTTTTGGAAATGTTGAGTCAAATTAGTCTAGAATTGAATAATTTTATGGAAGAAAACCTTTCAAACAGCCATAGTCTGTAAACTGCACACATGCCAGGCTGTGATTGGCTCATGTATTTAAGGATTCCTACAACTTGAAATTCTTATAAAGTGGAACGTATCTACCGTGTTATGGGGGGGTCGACTGTATATCATTGGATAATGCAATAAATCGAAAGCAGATATAGACCTTTCAGTGTGCTTACAATTTCAATTTATGTCTTATCATATACTTGATTTGAATTATCCAAATATGTAATTTTTATGCATTTTGATTGAGTAACTGTACTTCGGCTTAAGGGCAGTAGTGTCTCAAAACTATTGAAACTCTACTGTATTTCTATTGGATTCATTAGAGACAGAACAACAAATAAAATGCTGTTGTTCTGTCTCTAATGTAAAAGCAATGAAATGCTGTTGTATATGATGTATTTTGTTTCAATAAAAGAAATAAAGATAATGTTTAGCAATATTATTGTATGTAACTGTGTTTGATGTCAAAATCTTATTTGATGATAATAATTTTTTAAACCTATTTAATTATAGCAAATCTAGGTGTGAAGACTGTCTAAATTCACAAACATGTTTCACGGGAAATTAAAGCAGTCCTGAGGAAAACAAAACAGAGCTTTAAAAGATTCAAAAAAGAAACTCTGTTTAATTTCAAAATTATTTTGACACTATTTAACAGGTGAAATTTTGGATCAAATTAAAATTAAAACAAAACAATCACTCATGCCCTGCAAAGAAAACTTACAAATTAATAAACTGCATTTAAAGATTTTTTCAGAATAAACTAAACAGAAGTTCATTAATAAACTAAACAGAAGTTTTATCACTTTATGAACATATTTTCCTTTATTTCTCATTTTTCATAGATATATTTTTGTTTTAAAATTTATCCCATTCTTACTTTTCAATGCAAACTAAATAAGTATGTATTATACCTTAACTTATGAAAAACAGTAATAAGGCATCAAATAATGCAGTGTTTATCTTATTGGTTAATAAAAACCATTAAAATAAACACTATGGTCACATTTTCAAACAAAAGCGAAAGTCAGTCAAAAACTCAAAAAATTGAATCCTTTTGCAAAACATTGGTATATTTAAACAATTTTCACAAAAAAATTATATCATCATCATTATAAAGAAATTTTTGTGGTTTTGGATGTTAAGTCATCTGTTACTAGTGCCTTGTGCTAAAAATAGGTCATCTATGTGTTGGTAATAATGCCCATCACATTCAAATTTAAATTTTATTTCTATTAAATCAACATAGTATATCAAGTTTATAATTATACATGCTATTCTATGTTAATATGTACTTAAAGCATTCTTTTAATTTAAAAAAACGTTTATGTTAATGTCAGTTCATCATGTTGTGTAGCAAATTATATGGTAGACCTATTTAACTATTTGTATGATTTAATTAGAATATTTCAAACTATACAGTAATAATTATTAATTTATTCATAAAATGTTTTATTTTGTGCAGTAGTGTGTTGCACTATGGGAAATTTGTTATGTAAAATTTATGTTCTAAGAAAATTTTTGGCCTTGAAAATTATTCTGCATCCTTCCAATTAGGTATGATTTTTTAAATAATTTTGTAGATTTTATAATTTTATTACAATACGTCTTAATATATTTTAATTTAATACAAATTATAATTTTGAATCTGATTTTGTTTTCAATATATTCTTATGCAAAATATATGAAAAATACAATTGACCTTTTCAACCAATTCTTCGAATGCACACTGAACACCATCTTTAGTTTTTGCACTTGCTTCTATAAACAACATGGAATGTTTTCTGGCATATTTCATTCCTTCTTCACGACTAACTACTTGATTTTCCTGAAAGAAAATAATTATTTTGTAAAGCTACATAGTTTCTTCGTTTATATATAGTAATAAATATATAATAAATTTTTAAAATTTTGATAAACATTCATATTACAGTCTAACCATACTACAAAATACTGTATTTAACATTAAACTATACAGTTTTTCAAATTTATATAATTTTTTGAAATTTCTGTAAATTTTCATAAAAATATTGTAAAAATATTTTAAAATGTATTTTATTTTATATGTCAATTGAAAATTATGTTAAATTTTTAAAAACCTTAAACATAGATTAAAATTTAAAAATTTTTTAAAATCAACAATTATTTATAAAGTGATATAACAAACAAAATAAATTAAATCTGACAATCAAAACCTAAGCGACTGAGCGTTTTTGAATGAAGTTAATAATAACTTATGTAGTCTAATATTCAAACTCGAGCAAGAAAGTCATAGAAGTGTCCACTTCCTTGTTATAACCACAAGGATAAACCATAAAACCCGAGGACAAACCTTTGATATACATAACCCATAGCTATAGCTGTATGTATATATATATAAAATATAAAATTTATATTCCAGAGATCTTATGATTCCTTTAAGTTTAAAGGATCAGCCTTCACAGCTTGTCTTCTGACAAGGTGCTAGAATTTAAGATTTCATTTTGTTACACAATTATTTATAAAGCAACAAAATATCTTTAGTTAATAATTAGTACTATTCTTAAGAATACTATGGAGTTTACCTAGAGAAATCTGGACAATGATACAATCATGCTGATTTCAATAACATTGTTACAATAAGAAGTTTAATAAAAGTTTATAAAATTTTGCAGTAAAATTTAAAAATTTAAATCAATGAATGAAATAGAACACTGCATAAAATCACATACACAAACCATTTTAAACATTATGGCATTATACTGAATAGATGTTGACATTCCTTTTTCTGCAGAAACAGCCTGAACCTGACAAGCCATGGATTCTACAAGACTTTGATAGGTATCTAATGAGAGAAAAACCAAGATGTCACTAGAAGAGCCTTCAGTTGTTGAAAATTTTGTCGTTGAGGTGATATATCATGAGCCCAGTTCTCTAACTCAAATCACATGTACTCAACTGGACTCTCAGAAGAATTCAGAGGCCATGGTAATAACTGGAACTCACTCTTTCAGGAAGTTGTTCTGTGAACAACATTCTGACAATCCTAGTCGTGTAACATGGAGCATTGTTTTGCTGATAAAAGCTATCTCCATCAGGAAACACAGTAGCATGGAGGTGTGTACTTGATCAACAACAACATTCAGATAGGTGACATCTGTCAGAATTCCATTCACATAAAGGTCCTCCAATGTGCTAACACCATGTTTTTATCAAAGATTCTCAAACACTCATCTTTACATGTACTTTACTAAACTGACCTGTCTACACTTGTTTATTTCATACATAACTGACATAATATGCAGTGGAAGTGTTGATTTAAATAAAACTGATTTCATATTATGTGACTAAACAAATTATTAAATTTCACACATGCTCATTCCATGATAGGTCCAAGGTTCTCAAGGAAACCACCACCCTGACCCATCATGTGCTAACACCATGTTTTTATCAAAGATTCTCAAACACTCATCTTAACATGTACTTTACTAAACTGACCTGTCTACACACGCTTGTTTATTTCATACATAACTGACATAATATGCAGTGGGAGTGTTGATTTAAATAAAACTGATTTCATATTATGTGACTAAACAAATCATTAAATTTCACACACGCTCATTCCATGATAGGTCCAAGGTTCTCAAGGAAACCACCACCCTGACCCATCACACACACACTACAGGATTTAGTGGTTAAGAAGAAGCTTGAGAAATTTAATTGGTTATGTGAGAAAACTCATGTAATATCAAAACTTGTCCTGTCTGTACCTTATAACTTCTCTGATATCCAAATCCCACTAGTTCACAACACCATGAGATACAGACTAAAGTAAATTCTTGCTCCAACATCATTCAATCCATTAGTTGATCTGTCTCTTTTCTTTCTCACCATCAGTCTAAACCTTCTGAGTAAAAAAGTAATTTAACTGATCTGTCCAAATCATACACTAAGTTTCCAAAGTATATGATTTTGGACAATATGCCTACTAAATTGACGAAGCTTTCATCTATAGTTGACTATTGATAAGTCAAAAATGGAAGTGTCAGAGAATCATTTGAATTAATGAAATTTTGAGTTACAATCTTATTGCAGTAATATTTCAGTAAATGTCATTATACAAACAATACAGTACTTCAGACATAGTAGAAAAGAAAACTCCAGAATTTAATATCAAACTAAAAATAAATCAGCTAATAAAAGCAAATAAACATTGTTAGTGCACTATTATTTTTACTGTATATCATTCTCAAATTGTGTCCAGCATTAATCTAGCAGGCAGGCCCAGAAGACAGCCTGTGAGACCAGTATGAAATTTTAAACAGTTTGGAGAAATTTTCTGACAATCTGACAAGTTGCCAGAATGATAACTTTTTATAAATAGCTATATAAATTTCAGTGAATTTATTCTCTCATATTCTATTCTCTTTAGGCTTTTATGTAATGAATGTGGGATAACTCCTGTGGCTGAAAGAACTATTGATATGGAAAATGAATAAACTCCACATCACAAGTGTTTTACTTCTTGAGAGAAAGAGCAGTATATTTACTTTTTTTTTTTTTCCTGTATTGCTATTTTGTAGATTATATGTATTTGGTATAGTGATATCAATAATATAGATAGTTTTGTGCACTTTATCAATGAGGATAATATCCAGTCTATTGTGATGGATCATTTATTTCTTATAATTGCTCTGTCAAAATATAATTTGTGTTGTGTTCAGACACACAATACCTAGAGTCTATGGAAGTCAAACTGAAACAAAAATAAGATTTGACTTAGCAAGAGTACTAGATTTCTCAATATACCGTCATTTATATTATTCAGTTTTGCAGTGAGTAATCTGTTTAATAACAACTTAAAAAAGTTTCATTTATGTGTAATTTAACAATGTAACTATCAAAATTTTTAAGTTAAATTCAAATTACCTTATCAATCTTGTTCCCAACAAGCATTTTTACAATACCACTTCTTGTAGAATAAGTTTCTAATTCATTTAGCCATTGGTCCAATTTTACAAAACTTGCTCTATTAGTCACATCATAAACTATAAAATTTAAGTTTTTCATTTTATTAATTTTATTCAATAAAATAACTAAAATGAGTTAACATCTACATAATACTTTCCAAATGTTTTACTAATTACATTAACAAAATAAAAAGCAATAACTTTATTAGTATGCATTTTAATAAATGTTAAAATTTGCTCCACTTATTTAAAATCAAATTATATTTATTTATTAATATTTGATTACATATGGCTACTAAATTATACACACTTTGATAATGTATTATTTTATAATTGTTATTCATAAGCAAATTTGCAAAAATAATTTTAAAGGTCATTTTTATGTTTGAGAATTAACTGCATAAATATAATGGAAATTGTTGAAATTATTTTTAAAGCTATATTTTAATTGAGTAAACAATATACATTAATAACTTATGCAAATATATCATTAAATTGTTTAAAGTACTGATACCAGGTTGTAAAAGGTGAAAGTTAGACATTTCTAAACATGACTGGAAAAAAAAGTTCTAGAACATTCAACATGGATATAAAAGTAAATTAACTAAAGGGCATTTTATCATATTTTATTGGATATAAATCCATCAGCAATGTCTGACAACATGAAACTTTCAAGAAATTCAATGATGGAGATTTCTTGCTTCAAGATGAACTCCATCTAGGAAACAATTCCATTGATGATAATATTCTCCAGCAAGTGATAGCGAATAATCCATGGTTGACCACCAGAGAATTAGCACAATATAAGTATTCCCATAAAACCATCATCAATCTCCTTCATGCTGTTGCCAATGTGAACAAACTAGGCAAATAGTTGCCCCAAAAACTGACTGCTGTGAACAAAATTTGACAACTAACCATCTGCAATTCATTGTTCCCCAAGCACCACACAATCAACTGGCTTAAGTCAATTGTGAGTGAGAAGTGGATCTTACACTACAGCATGACATGCAAGAGTTCATAGGTGAACAACAGTCAATCATCTGTTGCAAATATCAAAGGGCCAATAGTGCAGAAGTAGACTATGATCTGTGTTTGCTTGGCATCATCACAATAGAGCTGCTTCTAACCAATATCACTGTCATAAAAGAACTCTATAAACAATTATATTGTTTGAACATCAAGATTAAAGAACCTTGTCCAAAAATTGACAAAGTCTGATTTTGCCACAACAGCACACCATCACATAGAACAAATGACCTTAGAGAAGCTGGCCAGTCAGGGCTGGAACGTTCTGCTTCATCCACTTTACAGCCCAGACTTGGTGCCAACTTACTATCATCTATTTCAGTCTGCAGAGCCATATTACCAATATACAGTTCACTGACAATACATAACACTAAAGACTTTTTCAAAGTAAACCCCAGTCATTCTATGTTCATGGGATTGAAAGTTTGCAACAAAGTGTAGTAAGATATGATTGATGCTAATGGTGTTTGCCTACAAATCTGAACTGTAATTTTTGTTGACTTAATTATCAAAGTTTTTTCAAAACATTAAATTTCACCTTTATAACCTGATATTATATTTTATGTTTCTCACTTAAAAACTCACTATTACGAGCAATTTTAAATGTAAAGCTTACCTAAAATTGCACCTTGTGCCCCTCTATAATAACTGGGTGTAAGTGTTCTAAACCTCTCTGATCCAGCAGTATCCTAAAAATATTCAATAATCATCACGATTTTCATACAAAATATTACTGTTAATATATGTTTATTAATTAATTACATATACTTAACTACTATTCATATTTATCTTAATACTAATTAATAAAAATTGTTATGTACAGTGAAAAAACTTCAATTTAAGAATGCTTATTTAATTTTATTTTGTAGCAAAATAAGGAATCATGATATCTCTAAATACACATTTCATTATGAATATATTTACATTTCACAGTTTATTGAGTAAATCTAAATAATAATTAATCAAATTATTAATAATAAGTTATAAATTTAATGTAAATACATAATTAAACTGTAATAAAAGTTTTACTTTAAGAATATACAATTCTTCGTCATCTCTTGAAGACCACACAGATTTAAAAACAGTATACTCTGTTTACTTATATCTTTTAAAACATTGCAATTAAGAATACCTCTAGACACTATACAACAAAACACTCTTTGTTCTGTTAATTTGAAATAAATACAAATAACAATAAACATAACTATCAGAAATAAAAACAGCAAGTAATCAGAGAATTCAATCAATCACAACATAAAATAAATACAAGAGAGCTTGAAATAAAGTTATTCAGTCAAAAAGCTTGATTACTTTGAAAGCTATTTTTCATGTTAAATTCAATTAAGTTACAAAACATTTTATACTAAATCTTTAAGTTGTGTCAGAATCTTGCATAGTAATTAATGATCAGAACTAACTATTACTAGTTAAGTCAGTTATTTTATCATCTGAAACTACTGTCCTTAGTAACTAGTCAGAAATGGAAAGTAGGAAAATGATTGCTAGAAATAGAGATGTCTGATAAATTTTTAATCATAAAATTTTGTCAATATTTATTCAAAACTAAACATTTATATTAATTTGATAATTAATCCTATTGTTTAATAAAATTATATTGTTATTATAAAAAATACAAATTTCTATTTTTAAACTCACCCAAATAGCTAACTTTGCTGTATTCCCATCAACAGTAATTACTTTAACTTTAAAATCAACACCTAAAAAAAATTAATTAATTTTTAAAAATTATTACATACATACATTGTATTATGTACTGTACATGTGCATGCACATATAAATAAATATGCTTATTTACAAAGTTTGTAGGATAATCATAAAGATAACATTTGTTAACTTCTGTTTTATAACAATTACTGCAAAATTGTCAATGCCTTCTAAGCATAAGCAGCTTTGTATATATTTGATTGCTTCATGTTCTCTGTTGTTCTTTGGAATTAAGTTCTCCGTAGCAATTTTGTGTTTATCACACAAGAACACTTTTTTGATAGAAGAAGTAAATTTTATTTTTTACAAAAAAAAAACAACATTTATATTTTGGAAGTTATGTTTTTACCATTTCACTTGCCAATTTTTTTTTATATTTTAGCAAGTTTTACTTGTTTTACTCCTATATTTTTAAGTACTTAGTTATTCCAGTAGTCACTACACTGATGAGGAACAAATGGCCAAAACTGTATTTCCTTTTGGAAAGAAATAGAGAATAGAATCTACTTTTTCTCTCAAAAAAGTTTTCCTGTGTGATAAGTTCTCCATAGTAATTTTGTGCTTAATTCCAAAGAGCTTTGTGTATTTAGAAATAAGGAATAAATTTTTCCTTTAAATTCAAATATTAGTTAATCAATTCATGTATTTGTGGTACCAAACTCTTAATTCCTTAAAATCACAATTTATTAAATATTTCTATATTCATAAAGGTAACAAAACAAGTCATTGTTATTAAAATTCATTAAAAACTCATTAACTATGACATCAGATGCTCAAAGCATCTCTTCTGTAATGTTTAAAGTACAATAGAACTTCCATTTTATAAAATTTCTGTTTAATGATTTTTTTAAATGTGATTCTGAAGTAATTTATCATGTGATTTTGGTTCTTTTGTATGAAATAAAAAGTCAAGTTTATATGAAAACATGTGAATAATTTTTGAAACATAGTAAGTAGTTTAGTAAATTTTTTAGAAGATAACCCATCCAGTATAAAGTTGTCACCGAGATATGATCACAGGGTAAAAAGGAAGTTCACATAACATTCTTGGAAGTTAATTGGTTCAGGTACTGAAAAAACTTATAGGTATAGTACTTCAGGCTACGTTGAAGTTTTAAGATCTAGTTTTTTGTTTTTCAACTTTTACAAAAAAAAGTCAAAAAATAGCAAAAGCACAATTATTTAAGTGCCTTAGAAAATGTTCACAATTTACACAAAATTGATAGTAACCATAAAAATACTTTGTATTATTTTATATTAATTTTTTACAATCTAATAGCTTGCAGATTCTTGTAACTGCCCCCCCTGCAACTGAAATTATATCATCTGTTATGTCTTCAGCTGATCTCTATGACAATATAAAAATCGTGAAAATGAGAGTCAGTCCAGATCACTGCTTGTTAGTAGCCATCCTTTCTATGGCAAAATATTCTCTGATCCTTCTGCTATTTATGTTTTCCTTTGAAACTAATTCACAATGACCATTTTTTAAACTCACCCAAATAGCTAACTTTGCTGTATTCCCATCAACAGTAATTACTTTAACTTTAAAATCAACACCTAAAAAAAATTAATTAATTTTTAAAAATTATTACATACATACATTGTATTATGTACTGTACATGTGCATGCACATATAAATAAANTTGCCACAACAGCACACCATCACATAGAACAAATGACCTTAGAGAAGCTGGCCAGTCAGGGCTGGAACGTTCTGCTTCATCCACTTTACAGCCCAGACTTGGTGCCAACTTACTATCATCTATTTCAGTCTGCAGAGCCATATTACCAATATACAGTTCACTGACAATACATAACACTAAAGACTTTTTCAAAGTAAACCCCAGTCATTCTATGTTCATGGGATTGAAAGTTTGCAACAAAGTGTAGTAAGATATGATTGATGCTAATGGTGTTTGCCTACAAATCTGAACTGTAATTTTTGTTGACTTAATTATCAAAGTTTTTTCAAAACATTAAATTTCACCTTTATAACCTGATATTATATTTTATGTTTCTCACTTAAAAACTCACTATTACGAGCAATTTTAAATGTAAAGCTTACCTAAAATTGCACCTTGTGCCCCTCTATAATAACTGGGTGTAAGTGTTCTAAACCTCTCTGATCCAGCAGTATCCTAAAAATATTCAATAATCATCACGATTTTCATACAAAATATTACTGTTAATATATGTTTATTAATTAATTACATATACTTAACTACTATTCATATTTATCTTAATACTAATTAATAAAAATTGTTATGTACAGTGAAAAAACTTCAATTTAAGAATGCTTATTTAATTTTATTTTGTAGCAAAATAAGGAATCATGATATCTCTAAATACACATTTCATTATGAATATATTTACATTTCACAGTTTATTGAGTAAATCTAAATAATAATTAATCAAATTATTAATAATAAGTTATAAATTTAATGTAAATACATAATTAAACTGTAATAAAAGTTTTACTTTAAGAATATACAATTCTTTGTCATCTCTTGAAGACCACACAGATTTAAAAACAGTATACTCTGTTTACTTATATCTTTTAAAACATTGCAATTAAGAATACCTCTAGACACTATACAACAAAACACTCTTTGTTCTGTTAATTTGAAATAAATACAAATAACAATAAACATAACTATCAGAAATAAAAACAGCAAGTAATCAGAGAATTCAATCAATCACAACATAAAATAAATACAAGAGAGCTTGAAATAAAGTTATTCAGTCAAAAAGCTTGATTACTTTGAAAGCTATTTTTCATGTTAAATTCAATTAAGTTACAAAACATTTTATACTAAATCTTTAAGTTGTGTCAGAATCTTGCATAGTAATTAATGATCAGAACTAACTATTACTAGTTAAGTCAGTTATTTTATCATCTGAAACTACTGTCCTTAGTAACTAGTCAGAAATGGAAAGTAGGAAAATGATTGCTAGAAATAGAGATGTCTGATAAATTTTTAATCATAAAATTTTGTCAATATTTATTCAAAACTAAACATTTATATTAATTTGATAATTAATCCTATTGTTTAATAAAATTATATTGTTATTATAAAAAATACAAATTTCTATTTTTAAACTCACCCAAATAGCTAACTTTGCTGTATTCCCATCAACAGTAATTACTTTAACTTTAAAATCAACACCTAAAAAAAATTAATTAATTTTTAAAAATTATTACATACATACATTGTATTATGTACTGTACATGTGCATGCACATATAAATAAATATGCTTATTTACAAAGTTTGTAGGATAATCATAAAGATAACATTTGTTAACTTCTGTTTTATAACAATTACTGCAAAATTGTCAATGCCTTCTAAGCATAAGCAGCTTTGTATATATTTGATTGCTTCATGTTCTCTGTTGTTCTTTGGAATTAAGTTCTCCGTAGCAATTTTGTGTTTATCACACAAGAACACTTTTTTGATAGAAGAAGTAAATTTTATTTTTTACAAAAAAAAAACAACATTTATATTTTGGAAGTTATGTTTTTACCATTTCACTTGCCAATTTTTTTTTATATTTTAGCAAGTTTTACTTGTTTTACTCCTATATTTTTAAGTACTTAGTTATTCCAGTAGTCACTACACTGATGAGGAACAAATGGCCAAAACTGTATTTCCTTTTGGAAAGAAATAGAGAATAGAATCTACTTTTTCTCTCAAAAAAGTTTTCCTGTGTGATAAGTTCTCCATAGTAATTTTGTGCTTAATTCCAAAGAGCTTTGTGTATTTAGAAATAAGGAATAAATTTTTCCTTTAAATTCAAATATTAGTTAATCAATTCATGTATTTGTGGTACCAAACTCTTAATTCCTTAAAATCACAATTTATTAAATATTTCTATATTCATAAAGGTAACAAAACAAGTCATTGTTATTAAAATTCATTAAAAACTCGTTAACTATGACATCAGATGCTCAAAGCATCTCTTCTGTAATGTTTAAAGTACAATAGAACTTCCATTTTATAAAATTTCTGTTTAATGATTTTTTTAAATGTGATTCTGAAGTAATTTATCATGTGATTTTGGTTCTTTTGTATGAAATAAAAAGTCAAGTTTATATGAAAACATGTGAATAATTTTTGAAACATAGTAAGTAGTTTAGTAAATTTTTTAGAAGATAACCCATCCAGTATAAAGTTGTCACCGAGATATGATCACAGGGTAAAAAGAAAGTTCACATAACATTCTTGGAAGTTAATTGGTTCTGGTACTGAAAAAACTTATAGGTATAGTACTTCAGGCTACGTTGAAGTTTTAAGATCTAGTTTTTTGTTTTTCAACTTTTACAAAAAAAATGTCAAAAAATAGCAAAGGCACAATTATTTAAGTGCCTTAGAAAATGTTCACAATTTACACGAAATTGATAGTAACCATAAAAATACTTTGTATTATTTTATATTAATTTTTTACAATCTAATAGCTTGCAGATTCTTGTAACTGCCCCCCCCTGCAACTGAAATTATATCATCTGTTATGTCTTCAGCTGATCTCTATGACAATATAAAAATCGTGAAAATGAGAGTCAGTCCAGAGCACTGCTTGTTAGTAGCCATCCTTTCTATGGCAAAATATTCTCTGATCCTTCTGCTATTTATGTTTTCCTTTGAAACTAATTCACAATGACCATTTTCTTATATTACTCAAAGTGTTAACGATTCATTTATATGTAATTTACAAATTCTTCTCTTAATTTTGAATTCCAAGGATCACAACTGACTGAGTCCCTGATTAGTTGAATCATGACTAACAGAATTTCACATGCATATAATAAACTTTTCTAACATGACAAATAAAAAAAATTGGAAGTACAATAAACTCCTGCAAATCTCAGATTTTTTTGAAAAATCTTACAGTAATTTAACATTACTTGAAAATAGAAAAATTATAATCAATCAGTAATTATAATTATGACAAAATTATAATTAATGAGTATTTCCAATATCTGGCTGTCTTTGCAATATCATGCATTATATTACTGTAGTCAGTAGTTACTAAAGACTGTATATTGCTGTATACCATATTGTCATACAAGTTTTGAGCTCATTTCCTGTAACAATACAATAAGAATGTTTTTCACCTATTCAGAAACGTTTTTATTGTATTATTACCTACTGATGGAAATTAGTAGGTGTGTTTCTATATCTCATTACAAGAAATGAGCTCAAAAATTTCATGACACTACAGTATACAGCAATGTATAGTGTACTGTATATATCTCATTGTCTCACATCCAGTTTGCTCTAAGAATATTTCCTGTAATAATAAATTCAACAGTATAACCTACAAAGTACAGTAAAACTTCTGTATAGAGGTGATAAAAAATTACTGTATATCCCCTTTTTCATTTTCCATGTCTTTGGAGAAAACATCCAATAACTTGGACAACCCCTATTATTCCAAGTTACTGAAAGTTTACGGTATTTTGATTTTAAAATACTTTAAAATTTTCATAATAATTTAATAAACATTGCATCCTGCTCAAATCTTCCTAGTTTCAAATACAGTCGACCCCCCTATAACACGGTAGATACTTTCCATTCTTTATCAAACTGATGTTCTATGAGTCCTTAAATACATGAGCCAATCACAGCCTGGCACTCATGCAGTTTACGAACTACAGCTGTTTGAAAGGTTTTCTTCCATAAAATTAAATCAATTCTAGACTAATCTGACTCAACATTTCCAAAGCACGTATAATTTTTTGGGAATAATCCATATAAACTATGCTATAAATACAGTGACCATATTTTTTGGGGGAAAATAAAGGACATATCGAAGAAAATCAAAAAATACCTTATAAAATTCATAAGTTTATAACATTTATTACGAAAATAGTAGCATACAACAATGCATACATTAAAATTTTAAACAATCTGAATTATTACACATACACACATTGTAAAAATTTAAATAACATTAATTTTGATACTTTTCAGTAGAATTAATTTTTTTATAGCGCCGTTTCACGCTTTAAAGTCATAAAATTCCATACAGTTCATTTGAAAGTTGTATTTGATGGAAATACATGCTTCTAATGTGCTTACTTTTAAATCAGTTTTTTCATTCGTCCACATATTATTCAGCAATGAAAATATTCGTTCAACGGGGGCATTAGATCCAGGGAGACAAAGAAAATTCTACGATTTTACAAATGTTTTTGAAAACAATTTCTTTTGCTGTAAAATGTTCAAAAATCTCAATCCACCTTTGATGGCAGGGCTGGTTATTCTGTCACCATTCGTCGATCTTTTCGTTTGTGACATATTTTTTTACACATGAAACTTCATCAAATAATTCACCGTCGAGTATATTTACGGACCAATGATTCGAAATAAAGATATAGCTTTCCTCTACCTTCGCCCACAAAGGGATTTCACATAATGTGACCCATTCAAACACCTCTATTTCAATAAAAAACATGTCCCAATCATTTAGATAATCTATGCACGTTTGATAAAATGTGTACACAGCATCATTGAATTTTTTGGCTTGTATATTTTCTGATTTTTCTAATGCTAAAACCACTTTTCTAATAACAATAGGAAGAAACCCCTGGTACTGTCAGTGGGCCGTTTGGTTGGCAACACACTGCACTACTGCGCTCTATGTAGCAATGCAACACTGATCGTGATGGCGTACACAAAACTAACTTGTTCAATATATTATTCAAAAATTTTTTTAAACTTTGCGTCAACTTTACAAAATAAAGGACAAAATGCCTATTTTAGAAAATAAATAAAGTTAAAGGACAGAGCAGTGAAATAAAGGACTGTCCTCTTAAATAAAGTTAAAGGACAGAGCAGTGAAATAAAGGACTGTCCTCTTAAATAAAGGACGTATGGTCACTGTAGCTATAAACAAAAAATTGTAGGATTATGTACTGAATATGCACTGTTTGACGACACCATTGCTTAAGCTTATTTTCATTGTGGAGCGGTGCATCGAATGGGGCACGCATGCTTTCTGATAAATTATTTTTCTGCGAAAAATTTGCTGAACTTTGGAGACGTCATTAATATAAATATAATTTTTATGGATGTTAAATAATAAATGGTTTTTAGTAGGTCTGCTGCTCATTTAAACTGAACGGTTTGTGCAATATCCGCTATTGGTCTAGATTCGACCAATCCTGTCACGACACGAGTCGGTGATGACATTTTACCGTTATATAGGAGTCTCTTTTAGCGTGTTTATACGAATATGGTTGCAATTTTTTTGCCATTATATATGAATCCGAATTATATGAACCCATTTTATAGGGGGGTCTACTGTATCTCTAAAATGAAATTATGATGATGATAAATTATAAAATCTCTATCAAAAAGTCAGCTAATATTCAAATTTCACATACTCAAAATTTCTGCCACTGACTTCTGGTAGCGTTATCGGTCTCTAGAAGGAAAATGGTAACACTGCAGGATAAATTCAAATCAGTTGTGTCAATATAATGGGAGTTTCACCATATCTAGAAGAAATCATTTTCCAATCCTAAATCAAAATGAGTGACACAGAAAGGTTCTGGTCATAGGATCCATGTGTAAGTCACAGAAGAGGTCAACATGTTTCTGAGGAACAAGTGAAAGGCATGCAGACCTCGGAACAGAAAAATGACTTCAAAATAAGTGAGAATAGTAACTCTAAGCAAGGAAACAGTGAAATAAAATTAATTGGCCACAATGATATATATTATTTGTAAGGAGTCAAGTCTGAATGTTATTTTACGTTTATGGGTTTTGTTTCATTTGACGTTATAATTTAGATTGAGAATGTTTTCTTTTATTTAAAGGCTAATAACTTATTTTCATTATTACCTAATAGTAATTACGAATAATGAAAATAATTTAAACTATAAATTATAAACAAACATAATTTGTAATCATGACCAGAAAATACCACAAATAGAGCTTTCTGCTATTGGCACTATTTGCCACAGCAACATAATTTAGAACTGATGTTCGCTAAGATCTATATCGTTTATACAGAGGTGAGAAATTAATTTCTCGCCTCTGTATAAACGATGTTGTGATTGTGAATTCTGGTCCAAAAAGTTAGTTTTTGCACATTTCCCATCTCTTCTCGCATGTGCATAAATGCAACCTTATAGCAAAGGTTGCATTTATGCACATGCCAGTCTCTGGCAAAACCGAAAATTTCTGATTTCATTTTTAAGTGCATCGTATCCTAGTCAGTTGACCAAAATTAGCAAAAAGGATTGTTAATTATCCTTTGTTATATCTGTATATTTAGATATGTTCTTTATTTGGTTTCTTTATTTTTTTGTAGAATACAGGTATACCTCAACTTACGTCATTCCCGATTATACGTCGTTTGTCAAAAAAGTATATGGAAAAATAAAAATCAAGTTTGTCATTTTATTTGACTTTACGTCTGTCTGCCACAAATACTGAAGTCTCAATATCACTAGAAAAGCGTTTAAAGCACATGAAATTATATTAAAATATATACATTTACAAGTATGTACTGTATTTACAGTACATGCATTCGTAAATTTACATTACTTTTTTCTGTACTATATTAAAAACTAAAAATTATTTGTTTGTAAGCTTAAAATAGATCCTTATTAACCATATATTATTAAAAATGCATTAATAAATAAAATACAAAACCGGGAATGGTAATTTATGGTTTAGCCTAGTGACAATTAGATTTGGAGACAAGTAAATTAACGTAAATTAATTTAAAACAAGTAAATTATGTCACCTTTCCTGGAATCAATTACCGACATAAGGTGAGGTATACCTGTATAACCATACGCTATTAAGTGCTGAGTCAGTCAGCCAGTTCGATAATTAAATGTAGGAGGTGTCTATTAGAAGATATATGGCATGTATCTCTAAAAAAAAAAAAAATTGAGAAAAATTGCCTATACATTTACCATTTTTTCTAATGAGTTATCTTCTTAAATTTTGCAAATTAAAATTTTTAATTGGTTAAAATTATTAATTAAAAAAGTTTTCAGAGTTGCAGAATTATTAAAATTTAATACAAGACATTTCATTAAATAAAAAATCCAGAAACAAAATGCATAACTTTTCCTGTGAAAACACATCATAATAGAATAAATTTAAAATTAGTTTGCGACACCATTCATTACAAGATTTTGTTCAAAAACAAATTTTAAATTATTAATAATTACAAAATTGCAAGTAGTTTAATTTTGAGGGTAGAGACAAGTTTTATCTAAAATTATAATTGCTAATAACAAGTAAAATCACAAGTCTGACTTTACTTGAGTTATGATCTAAACATGATCCCTGACTGTCTTCCCACTCCTTGATCTTTAATCTTCAAAATTTAATAGCATCAATTCCCTTTATACACAAGCTACTGCACTAAATTTCATTTCTTAATCATTACCCCATCCTGATTTATTAAACGAAATAGACACCAACACATGGGATTTTTTTCATTGCCATTTTTGGATTTAGGAGATTTGCAAAAAAAAACTTGGAGGATCAAATTTGACAAAATTCCAATATTTTCCTGTGTTGTAAACAACAAGCTGGGAAAGTAAAACACTGTTTTTATTTATTTTTCATCAATAAAGCCTGTAATCTGTTACAAAGCTATAAATTTATTAAATTGTCCCTTAATAAACTTTCCAAATTTTATAAAATATTAACAAACGTGAAAAAATTTGAATCAGTAATTTTGTTACACTATCAAAATTATTAAAACCAAAATTGAAAATGATAAATAGTGTCATTTTAAATTATGTTTCTCATTTTTTGTCCTTGGTTTTCATTTTTTGACTGATTTATTAACATCTGCCTTCAAATTGAAGGTGTGAATTGTGAGGTGCTTGAAAGATATTAAGATACTGTACTTAAAAAAATTTTGTCGACTAGACTGTGCACTCTCAAATTTATGATATTGCATAACTAACATTTTTAAGACCTCAAAAGCCATGTAATAACATGAAATTTTCAACATGCAAACAAGAGAAAGATGTTATGGATGTCACAATTTAAGTATTTAAACATTAAGTAAGCAACTGTAGTTGTATTCACGCAAGATGCAAGTGATGGACTTCTTTCTCCTGCAGTGTTGCTATTTTCCTTCTATGAAATAGAATGCAAGTATTTTGAGTATATGCTCATAAAACTTAAGTATTAGTTGAATTTTCAACAGACATTTCATTAACCTATCTTTATAACTCATTTTATACAGATATTTAAAACTTGGGAGATTTGAGCAGGACACCCTGTATAATATTAATATATTGAACATTTTCAAATGTTACTTACCTATTGTTGCAGCTAATCCTGCATCAAAAACATCATCTGTGAACCTCAGCAACAAACTAGAAAATTTTTAGAAAATAAAATCAATTAAAGTTTAGTGAATTCAAAATTTCAGATATATATGTAAAAAAAGATTATATGATTAATATTTTTTCAATTATTATTCAAATAAATCTATCAGAAAATTAATTCCTTAGCTCATATACTGAAACATCAAGTACAATCATTAGCTTTACTTTTATATAAAATTGTGTAATATGAATTTATAAGTTTTGCAATTAAGAAATCCATATTGACAATTAATGTTTTGAAAATATCAACAGAAAGAAATTACTGAACTGAAGGAAGATGTCATGATGATAAACTCATATTTTAAATAACTACAGCAAAATAATATTTAATAAACAACAACATTTTAAGCTAATCTGATAGGTCATCAGTTGTTGAATACACATTGGTTATCAAATTTCAAAACATTGTTTTAGTATACTTATGTTACAAATTAATATTCTAACAATATTAAGATAATAAACTCACATCTTAAATAACTCCAGCAACTTAATATCTAATAAACAATTTTAATAATATAAATAACTTTATAATTTAAAAGTTTAAGTATGCAAATCTAAATTTTAAAATAAGATAATTTTAGATTTGTGAATAATTCTAAATTAAGTATGATATATTAGATAATGCAATATACTGAAAAGTATTTATTTTTGCCAGCTCAGCATATACTTCAGAGTTTTCAATTTTAACACAAAAAGACAAATTTTCATCATTTAAGAATATAGCAAAAATGCTACAGTTAAATATTAGCTGTATTATATTCTGCATATGTTTCTTCTTTGTGATTTTCTTTATCATACAATCATTTTTTATTGATTAAAAACAATGTTTTGCTCCATATCCTCTGTCTAAAAGCTACGGATTCTTCCAACATTTAAAAGTGTCATTATATTGCCTTTCAAATCTTTTTTTTTTTTATTTTGAATAAGTTGATTTCCTATAAAAATTCACATGAACTAAAAAAATTCTAAATATTCTTAATGATTTATCCAAGAACTCCACTAAGGTATATTTCTGTATATATACAACATGATGTCATAAGTTATTTCAATTCTGCCTACAATCTTAATCTTAAAAATCTTAGTGTTTATTTCAACAGTTTTTATTTTTACTACTGTTAAATCATAACTACAAATATTATTATTATTTATTACAATTAAAACTGAATTCAATTATATATAAAAAAAAGAGATTAAAATATAAGAGACCTTTTAATTATATATAAATTGTGTTGCCAATCAATCAATAATGATAAAAGGCAACTGTTTTGTGAAATTTAAACTATCAATTTTTGAATATATGACTAAATTAATTCATTCTAATAGTCACTAAAGATTAAAACTAATTATTTAAATAGACCAAACACTAAATTTCAAACTATCATTAGGGAATTTCATGAGATGACATAAAATATATCCTTTTATTTATGCTAGCATTAAAATATACTAAAACTGTCAATAACTGCTAGATCAATTTAGCTTAGCGACCAATCAATTAAAATCTAAAACAGAATTGCATGGCATGGCAACTGAATTATGTGGCAATTGCCTGTAGCATCCTTATAAAAAAAAAAAATTAACAGAAAATTGTGTTGAAAAAGTATGATATTAATATTTTATTTTCATGTAATTTTTCACATCATCCTCTAAAATACTTAACTATCAACTTGTGTCTATAGTTAATGCAAAACTTCTTTTAATTTCAAATTTTACACTTTCTACTGAATTTTGTAATAAAGAAAAAACAATATCAAAGTAAAATCAGTTAAAATTTCTAAAAAAATCAGTACTTAACATCTTTCTATTATATAATAAAAGCAAGGTTATGTAATTAAGCAATTGCTGTAAAAATTTTAACATTTTAAAAATGAACTATTATATTTATTTATTAATATTTGATTACATATGGCTACTAAATTATACACACTTTGATAATGTATTATTTTATAATTGTTATTCATAAGCAAATTTGCAAAAATAATTTTAAAGGTCATTTTTATGTTTGAGAATTAACTGCATAAATATAATGGAAATTGTTGAAATTATTTTTAAAGCTATATTTTAATTGAGTAAACAATATACATTAATAACTTATGCAAATATATCATTAAATTGTTTAAAGTACTGATACCAGGTTGTAAAAGGTGAAAGTTAGACATTTCTAAACATGACTGGAAAAAAAAGTTCTAGAACATTCAACATGGATATAAAAGTAAATTAACTAAAGGGCATTTTATCATATTTTATTGGATATAAATCCATCAGCAATGTCTGACAACATGAAACTTTCAAGAAATTCAATGATGGAGATTTCTTGCTTCAAGATGAACTCCATCTAGGAAACAATTCCATTGATGATAATATTCTCCAGCAAGTGATAGCGAATAATCCATGGTTGACCACCAGAGAATTAGCACAATATAAGTATTCCCATAAAACCATCATCAATCTCCTTCATGCTGTTGCCAATGTGAACAAACTAGGCAAATAGTTGCCCCAAAAACTGACTGCTGTGAACAAAATTTGACAACTAACCATCTGCAATTCATTGTTCCCCAAGCACCACACAATCAACTGGCTTAAGTCAATTGTGAGTGAGAAGTGGATCTTACACTACAGCATGACANATTTGAAATAACTATAAAAGTAGTGAATCAAACTTCACAACAAAGATTACAGGCAGGAGATCCCAATTAACTATATACGAACTTCTGGTGCAAACCAAAAGTCAAGTTACTTCAATTCAAAAATTTTCCTCTAAAAGGAGTTAGATAGAGACCTGCATGACTATTGCTAACATAAAAATATGATGTACAGGGGCAAGACACTACTAATTTCAAATGGAAAGAATATATTTTAAATTAAAAAATTATTAAAAATAGCAGACCAGCATTGTGATGTCATAATAAATAATTGCTCATTCTAATACACATTCTGATAATCATAATTTCTGAGATGAAATAAAACAATTACTATTACTATTTTCATAAAGTAGGTCCAGAATACACTTAATAAGCAATTAATTAAAAGCACTTATATTTTTGATATACTTGATTACTTTTTTATTAAAAGAAAACTAATACAGTTAACATTGCAATAACTTTAGTCTCTCATATATAGAAACATTCAATCTTTGTGTAACCTGAAGATGATCCTAGAAGGATCAAAGTACTTTTAAAAACTCTTATTGCTAGTAAGAAGGTTTGGTTGTTTGGTTTTTATTGCATTTTTATCACATCACAACATGACAGTTCTTTTTATATATATACATATACAATGAATGTATTATATGAAATATATATACATCCAAAGTTATATTCCACATAATACTAACAATACACCTACCTGCTATTAATCCTATTATTATAATTGTCTGTATGCAGAAATTATTCTAATTAACAGAATTGACTTTTTTGTTTTTTAGTTCTGAAGAATATTGTATAAATCAGGGATGAACCTGCCAAAGTAATTGTACAGAACAACAAAACATATTTACTTTTCACAAAGTTCTTGACATATTCAGACTCAACTTTGTCATTTCTGGAAAGAAGCAAAGCAGTTTTTTATCTAGAGAATTTTAATAGGTTTTTACTTGTTTTAAAACTAAAGTAGTCTCCAAATATTGAATTTTCTCAAACCTCTTTACATTCAAATTCTCTTTCATTCAAATCTTATCTGAATCCTTCTCTATTTGTCTTATGTTTTAAAAACTTTATTGTTTAGCAGAAAATTCCAAAAACATAAAATATTCTTTTGTGATCCTTTCTTCACTTTTAATCATAACATTTAAAAGCTACTTTCAGAGGCTAGTTTAATTTCATTTTAATTCACATTTGACATTGTTCATTATTAAATACAGTATATTCCTTTGGTTGAAATGGCAGGAAATTTGAAAGAATGGCACTAACATGCATCTAGACGATGGCATTTTTTCAGCAACTTTGCATAATAAGTTTTGCTATATATTTAATATGATGATATAATCACATTTATCATATATAAATATTTTAAATTTATTTAAAAAATTATTCTTTAAAATTTAATAATATTTTTATTTATGTTAAAATAGATTGGCATAGGCTCAAAAATTGTGTATGTATATTATAGTATTGAACTTTACCAGTTCAATACTATAATATACATACACAATTTACATTGAATTTAAAATAAACACTATTATCAATAAATCATTTTTTCATTCACTGATTTACAATATAAACAAGTGAATATAACCTTTCTGCATGGTTACTCACAAATGAAATAAAACAGTGATACTACATTCAAAAAATATTAAAGCAAAATTTGTTACCAGTACTTACTTCTTTTTGAATTTATGGTTATATATATATATTCAGCAGTATCTAATGATGTTCAGATTTCAAACAATTATACAGATTTGCAACTATTTTGAAAGTAATAAAACATAGAATGAATGCAATTGATTATTATACTTCTTATGATCAAGAGAATTTTAGTAGATTTTCAGATATATACTAGTGATTACTAATACAGCATATTTTTCTTATCTATAATTTTTAGAATCCAGAAATAATCACATTTTAGAAACTAAACACATTGAAATCTAAATTATCATCAAGAATTATGATAATTATATAGTCACATATGAAACAATTCAAATTAATATACAAAAATATTTTAAAATAAACTTATTTATCAGCTTCACAAGTTATTCTATTTTACTGTGATCAAATTTCTGGGAAAAAAAAGCAAATGTTCCGAAACAAAAGCAATTGACCAAATGATATTTTAGTATCATAAATTGCAACAAATTTTAACATATGCAATAAAATCCTTCAAACTGAAAACAAGAAACTATCTCCAAAATCAGCTAATGTTTAAACTCTCTTCTCAAACTGCACTTAATTAAAACAATCAAACTTCAAACAATCTTTTGTTATGCAGCCTTTTTTATTACTCTTCAATTTTGATTCCAAGTTTTGTTCTGGAGAAATCGGAATCATTTGACTTGAAGAAGGTCAATCAAATGACCAAAAGCATTTGAAGAGTAATAAAAAAGACTGCATAATAAAACCTTGTTTGAAATTTGACAGCAAATGTTTAAAGTTAACTCTATTGAATACCTGCCAAAAACCCCTGATCTCATACTTCACAGAATAAAAAAAAGTCTACAACTATTAGAGGTCACCACCAAAACTCAAACATAGTACACGTTTCCTTGTCAAGCAACCTAATAAGCAAGCCATTGACATTGTTCATTTCAAAGTATTAGTGTATATGTTATGGACAAAGTGATTAATCAGGCATTATTCATAATGACTGGGCATTATGAATAATGACCAAATAGGGCGGGCAGTGTGATAAATATTGATTAATTTATCAAATTGACCGGTCATTATGAATACTGCTATCACCTAGTCGGGCAAAGTGATAATAATAAGTTGAGGAGTGATCATCTGACATACGCTAGCCAATCGGCACGCTGAGTTGCGTGTGCGTATCGTACAGCGTTTAGTACAGAATTTTAAACTTGATTAAAAAAACTCCACTTATTTCATTTATAAATATTTATTTTTTGTAAATTATATCAAAGTACTATTAACTATATTAATTAAACTAATATTAACGAAAAGTATTATTAACAATTTTTGGTATAAATTATATAAAAAATTAAATGCTTTTTAGTTTATTTATTTGAGCAATTAACATTTTCATGACATTTGGAATTACATAATTTTTTTTTCTTTGGTAGCATTTGCATCTATTAGATTTTCAACCAATTTTTCAGCAGCATTAACTATAGTTGTGGCCATCAGGAATTGATGACATTCTTGCACATTCTCTAAGCGAAATTTCTGCACCCGGTACATCTCCAACAGAAATAAAGTTTTCTTTACAAACAGTAAATTGGTTTCTGGAATATAATAGATTTAATATGCCATGTTTGGTACCCAGTTTGTAAAGGTTTTTATCTTTAACCGCAACAACGACACCTAAAATATTTTTTCCATCACTGCGGGCTCGATCTTCATCAGGTACACGAATCCTTACTGTATCACCAACAATAGCTGCTGTGTATTTGGAATTTGATGTATTAATCATTTTTTCTGCTTGCTTTTTAAGATTAAACAAAGCCCTTGTTTTAGACACACTTCTTATTTTTTCTTCTTTTTTTGGATCAATTGTTTGGATTGTTTCTTCTTCATTCACCAATTCTGTAATACTAATAACATCCTGGTTTAGATTTTTTTCACGTGAAGACGATGTAGATCTTTGAACTTCATCAGTTATATTGCTATGTAAGGGTGGCATTATCAGATAATATTTCATAATGTTTTCTTGGACGGTACCCGGACTTTCAGAGTTTGAGCAACTTTGACTTACTTCGTTGATAGTTTTAAAATGTCTCTGTAGATCCTCTTCCGTATTAACGTTGAACAACGATTCGTTGGGTATAAAATTCTTTAGTCCAACTTTTAACTTTGCTCCAAACATGGCCTCATAGGGGCTGCAGTTTATACCAGTATGATGCGCTCGATTTTTCATCAGTAGTACAAAACGTAATCCTTCCGACCATTTGTTAGTATTGTTAATCTCCAACCAAGAACTAAGCATATTTTCTACGTCTTGATTACATCTTTCTACTGAACCCTGACTTTGTGAGTGCCTGGGCTTTCCATGCACCATTTTTAACTCGGACCACATATTACACATTTCTTTGATAATATTATTGGCGAATTCTCTGTCATTATCGCTTTGTAGAATACTTGGTGCACCAAAAATTGTAAAAATATCTAAAAGAACATATGCTACTTCTTCAGCCCTTTTGGTTTTTAACTCATTTAATCGGTTGTTGAAGCAATTATTCATATCACTTAATGATTCCTCCATGATTGTTACTTTTGTCAAAGAAGAAAGATTAACTACTGGTCACATAAATTTAAAATTCGGTACTAAATGCAATACGCGTGAGCAAGTAAGATGTAAGTTCTGATTGGCTAAGATATGTCGGATGATCACTCCTCAACGTATTATCATCACTTTGCCCGACTAGGTGGTAGCAGTATTCATAATGACCGGTCAATTTGATAAATTATTGAAATTTATTACAATGCCCGATTTTGTTGGTCATTATTCATAATGCCCGTATTAATCACTTTGTCCATAACATATATATAAGAAATATACTAATAAAATTATAGTTTCCAGAATTCTTATTGCTATGAGAGGATACACTACTTGAAGATGTCACATATTATACAAGACAGATTCAAATATTTCCCAGAATTGGTTTATTACTCAAAAGTATGTGTACAATTGAGAAATCAAGCAATGTGTCCTTCAAAATATTGTTCTTTGGCAATCACATACTTTTGCCAATGCTGGTATAGCTGCTGAAAACATTTTTGGAAGCCATCTTGTGACAGCACCTGCAATGCAGATGTAGCATTCTGTATAACCTCATATGCATTCTTCAAGTGGCGTCTCTTGATGGCATCTTTCAACCAGGGGAAGAGGTAGAAATTTCATGAGGTCTGCCGTGAACATTCGTGGCACCATATGTTGGCAAACACGGTGCATGTTCAATTGATCATGTAGGATGGAATGATAACTTCCAACCAAAATTCTTGCTGTCTTGGCACTCTGATAAACTGACTGCTATCTGTCCGACCTCACAATCTCAGTACAACCGACACTTTCTCCTCAAACGTTGATGGACAACCACTTTGCAAATCATCAGCAATACTTTCTAGTCCCTCACCCAAAATCTTGCAGAACATATTGGAAATGTTTGATATTGACTAGATTGGACAGAATGTCATTACTGACAATGAAATAGCTTTGACAAAGAAATCAATAAAGAAACAACTACAAAAGACAAACCTAGACTAAAAACACTAAGAATTTGTTCAATATTTTTTGACACAAAGGAGAACAATTATTTAGAATTTTTCCTAAAGGCCAAACAATTGGTTAACATGTTCTATCTAAACATTTTATGGCAATTAGACAAAAATTCCTCAAAAAGACTCTAAAAATGATAGAAGTTAGACACCTCATCACAGTTATGCAAAGTTGCACGTAGCAATTACAATCATTACGTATCCCGCGAAACACGAAACTGCCAATCTTCTGCAATCATCCAATTCGCCAAATCTAGCATCTAATAACTTTTATCTTTACCAAAACCGAAAAAAAACTTTAATAGGAAAATGTTTTAAGCGAACTGAACTCATCCAAGACAAACCAAAGAAAATTCTGCAATCTCAAAAAGAAGCTGATTTTTCTAAATGTTTTCTCAATTGGAGATATTGTTGGAGAAAATGCCAAAGCATAGAATGATCACTTTGACTCAAATACAGATATGTATTACAATTACAGCAACAATAACTTCAATTAGAAAGTCCATTTTAAATTTTCTTAATTAGTTAAGAATAGCATATAATTTGCATGCTAATCCATTAAAAAATGATCAAAATAGCCTTTTATTTTAAAATTTTTCAACAAATGAAGTTATTTGTTGCTGCAATTACATTTGTGTAATGAATCTGCTATTTTTAAATATAAAATCAGGTCAAACCTTTAACATTGTCCTTTTTGCGTTATTCAAAACTAAAAGATTTTTTTTTTAACAAGAACTCTTCACAATTAATAATTGTTTATATGTTTTAAAAATTTTCAAAATATTATATTTACCTGGATTTTCCTACATCGCTTTCTCCAATAATTAGAATTTTTAGGGTTGTTAAAACTGCGTCTTCCTCCATTTGTATATTAATTTCTTCTTTCAAATTACAACAAACGAAGTAAAGCACAATTTCCTAATTTTGCGAATTTCACAAACTGCGTTACGAATGACGTCACCTAACGTCATCTGACGGACGAAAGTGTTTTCTTTGTTTGATTATTTATGCAGACGTGTTTTCATTTTATTATATTATTTATTTTCATTTGAAATAAAATAATTTTTTATATTATTAATTTTTAGAAAGTTTACATATTTACATATCATGTCGAGAAATCATTCTCGGTATCAGTTTTTTTTTAATGAAAAAAAAACTGTAGCTTTCCTTCAGCGTAATCAAAAATAGTTAAATACGAAATTATGATTTAATAGCACTAATAGATTATAATAGGTTTTTTTAAGACGACCGGATAGTCGAGCAGCAAATAATATT